ACACACACACACACACACACACTCACACACACACACACTCACACACACACACTCACACACACACACCCACACACTCACACTCACACACACTGATATGCACAGAGGAATAGCTTGGTTCATGTCTAAAAAACATGATGCATTACCATATAACCACGCATTCACGTTAATATAAGGTAATTCAAAGAATACCATAATATTACCATGGTACTTTATGTTTCAGAGCATTTGTTACTATAGAAAAATCCTATTCAATGTCTTATTGAACGACCACCAATAGATAAATAAACGCGGATAAATTCAGATTTTGTTTTCAATTCGACTTCCGTAGCCGCTGTGTTTGTTAGCCTCTGTGCTAACCGATCGGATACGAGTCAATGAAGCTTTAAATCCTAACACAAAAGTTCACATTCATATTTACATAATCATTTTACGCCCTTAGACAATTTATATGCAAAGTATATACTCATTTCATCCCAGAGGGCGAAACGCTACAGTCTATTAGCAACTCGCAAGCGAAGCTAACACAGACTGATTCCCAACGGTGACTGGAATTAAAGCCACTAATTTATTGCTAAACGTTCAAACAGTCGAGTAAAAAACAAGATTACCTTCCCTGCGTATAAATAAACCAGGCAAAATGTTATATCTGCAAGTAGTTTTTGACGTTTTCCCAGCTTTGGATAGCAGATACATGTTTGTTTGGCAGCTGATTTCGGTCTCACGAAGGCTTCAAAACAAATAAGTGACAGCTGTCAATCATCTCTCACTGCTGGTCATGCTTTCATCAAACTAAATAACCTTTAAATCAAATAGTTAGTATTAAAAAGCTTTGTGTACGCTGTAGCAGGCCGCAATGCGGGACTGTGGCGGTGTCTCAAAATCTACTACGCTCGCTTACTAGATAGCGCACTTGGATTCAAGACGAAGCTGCATGGATTCTGCTAACATGTTTCCGTGTCTCCTTTGCCTCAAAGTACGGGCTAAGCAAGCAGCACACTTGGATATGAAACTACAATGCCCTAAAGTGCTGTCTACGTAGGCAGCTCGCTAGGTTTTAGCACGCGGCCCATGTGACAGTTATCCGAACCGGATACACAGACGCAACACAGACATATGAATAAACCGCGTTACCTGATTCAGTTCACATATCAATCAAGTCGGTGATTTTGCGGGGAAAGCGGGCTTGATCGAGCAGCATGTTTGTCGGTAGATCCGATGAGATCAGATCCGCCTCTCCATCGTCTGCACGGGCGGCGGGGGTTTGGCTCTGGCTGCAGTGGCTGATGTGAACGAATCGTTCATTTGAACCGATTCTCACAAATGATTCCATCGCACAGATTCACCAGCGTTTGTAAATCACTCGACTCTGTGCTGTGAGGTGAATGTTGGAATCATAAACAACGCCACAATATTGTCTCTCAGGTAAGAAATAAACACAAGCACAGTGCCAATATCGAACAGTATCAAAATCACGCCACTAAATACAGTTAAAACAGCCAAGTTGGCATGTTTCGTGGAAATTTCTGCGTTTTACAAACAGACAAACACACTTGCGAAAAGGTTCAGAGGCGTCAGACAGTAGTATAACATGGCAATTACATTAATATAATTATATTTAATATTAGCATATTCATGAGATGGCATATATGCATGATGAAATTAGCATAAGGTGTCTACATGTTCAAAATCTGGGCATTTCGTGGTAGAAAAACATTTTTAAAACGTTTTACATTTACATTTGATCATTTAGACGCTTTTATCCAAAGTGACTTGAGGGCAAAGAAACAATCAAAACAACAAGAGAGCAACAATATATACGTTTTATTCGTAAAATACCAAATCTGTTGGGATCTCATTTGGAATCTTTATCTTTCTGTGAGCGATAACTGAAACGAGTCGTTTGTATCGAACCGGTTCTTTAAAACGAAGCATCCGAGCGAATCGATTTGTTCAAATGAATCTGCATCGCTCCTCCTCCAGGGCTTGCAAAAACTTCGGAGGAGGAGAAAGACAAGCAAATATATCTAGGGCAAGGGTTGAATGAGGGTAAAATGTTTTGCTAAAGGGTCACTGTGTTGGATTGTTTGCTGTAATCGATTCCTAATCTGTTCATTAATGTGCTCTAATATGAATATGTTGGAAACAGCGTCCTCTTTTGTAAGAGAAGACCAAATGCGCCCTTTGGTGATTTTCACAAATGTGTTTTTCTATTCATCCATTTGTGTTTCAGCTTTCAGTCAGAGCACATATTTGGCAGACCAAATCAAATTAACGTCATGTTAATTATAATGACTTTTCATTCTCACTTCAAAGCAATCATTATTTTAAAGCCAATCTGTGAATATGCAATGCAATACTCATTTTAATGACTGCATCATTTAGTAGTTGTTTAGTAAATGGCTTAATTAAATCAGTAACCATGACAACTGTAGTTGTGACTATAGCTGTAGTTGCAATTGTTGCTGTAAAACCATAATAAATGAGACAAATTGTGAATTATGCTTTTAGAATCTTTTTTTTTTGTGTGTGTGTGTGTGTGTGTGGCTAAGTCTATTGTAGCTACAATTTCTGTAACTTACTATAGTATTTTGTTTAACAATATAAACAGAGCATCTGAGAGTTTGGAAGCAGTTATAATAGTGAAAAGTATTCTCCAAGCCTCTTTCTCAGGCTCGCAGAACGTTGTCAGCATGATTTGGCATCTGTATAGCAGGGTCCTTTAGATGTCAGAATCATTGGCACAGCACACAGCACTTAATACTGTAACCCGAACAGGTGTCAATTATTCAGGAGGAGAGTATTTACTGCATGGAGAAAGTGCACATCTGTCTGTTGTGCTGAGTCTAAAACCGATTGCTGTCTGTTGTCTGATTGTGTTTCTCTATGTGGTTTGGTTGTCTTATGTTGTTGTGGTGCTTCTCTGTTTGCTCTTGAATTTGGTTAGTTAGAAAGGGAAGAAGGGAAGGTTTGTATGCTGGTTTGCTTGCTAGGCTGTTATTATTCTGTTTGGTGATATGAGTGTGTGTGTGTGTGTGTGTCTGTGTCTGTGTCTGTGTCTGTGTCTGTGTCTGTGTGTGTGTGTGTGTGTGTGTATAAACACATTCTATAGTACAGGTTTATATATATTAGGGCTGTGCAATATATCGAAATTATCGAAATATCGCAAATGTACATATCGCAATATGCATATCGCTACAGCTTGCAATATTTGGGGCCATGAACAAAAGACAAAGAGAAAATCACTCACTGCTCTCACCTAAATAACTTTTGTAGCTTAAATAAGAATCAGTGCATATTGAATTCAAACAGTAAATACTAAGCAGTGTTTTATTTTTCCTTTTTATTATTCAGTTCCTAAACTCATGTTAAAATGACATTTTTATGTAATGCTTGAGTAAAACACTACCGTTCATTTTCAGAAGTTGTTGTAGGGGTGCTTTCTTATTAGAATCAGAATCAGAATGAGCTTTATTCACCACTTAAGTGTGCGCAAACACAAGGAATTTGTTGTGGTTTTACAGGAGCTATTGGTACATACATACATACAAATAACCATATATATATGACACAAGATAGTTATAGAAGTTCACAGAACTGACTCAGCAACAGCTGAGTAAAACTGTTTCATCTGAGCATGTGGCACTTTAAGCATTATCGTATCGCATATCGCATTATTTAATGAGTTATCGCATATCGCATATCGCATTTTTATTCAATATCGCACAGCCCTAATATATATAGATTTATATTACACACAAATGTAGTGTGCAGTGTAGTGCACTAGATGGATATGCGCACTCAGTATTTTTGTCTTGTTTTTCAGTAAAATATCTAAACATTCTTAAATCAAGATACATTTACTTGAGAAGTAAAATTACACAAGATATGACATTTTGTTTTAAGGCAAAATTGTCAAAATTAAGTGACTTTATGCTTAAAACAAGAACAAATATCTCTGCCAGTGGGGTCAGAAAAAAACAACGTATTTTCTAAAATTTGACATTTATAATTCTAAAACTTAAAAATATAAATTCTAATATATATATATATATATATATATATTTGCAAACTACAGTCTTGTCTGTTATAAATATCCATTTGTACATTTTATTATATTTTTTAATAAAAAAAAATGTGTAGCCTACTTTGTCTCTGGGGTATTGTTTTGGATATATATGCATATTGATATTGGACAAGACTGTAGTGTGCAGTGTAGTGCACTAGATGGCAGCAAGTTCACACTGTAAACACTTGCATCATGTGAATGCATCTGTAGACAGGGCTGTTGTCAGGGGAACATTGTCCTGCACCCTGTGATGAGGAGATCCATAAACATGTTGTCCTGGGCCTGTGCATTTTTTGCAACACCCCTATAACTGCAGGTGCTGCTCATATTTGCATTCACAAATAGAGAAACGAAGACAAATAAAATCACATGGAACAATAGTGCTTGCTAATTAACTGTAATGCAGAGAGAGTATTTTTCTGTTATTCTGTAAATAAGCTATACATACAGGAATAATTGTTGATGAGAAGTATATGCAAATTTGAACCTTTCAGTTTCAACAGACAGGAGTTTGAGTGTGCAGAGAAGTACACTTGTTAGTGAACGGCCGTGCTTCTTTTCTGTGATGAGTGCTGCGCATAAAACCTTGATTGCAATCTAACTGAGTTTCTTCTTTTCATCGTCAGTCTGACCCCCTTTTTTAAATCCAACCTCCGTGTTTGTGTTCCTGCCTTTAGAAACAAATAATTTCCATGTGAAATCACGCTATAGTGTCTCTTACCGTAATAATGCTGCTGTGCTCTGTACGGTATAGCTGCTGATTGCTGGAAAACACTTTGTTTGGCATGAACAGTAAAGGATGTTAGTGTTTCGTAAGTACTTACTAATGTCATTGAAAATTCTTTAAATATATTCCAGTGAAATACAATAGGGCTGATTTTTATTGTAAGGTTGGTTGGCGTATTTTTCCTTTCAACTTCAGCCCAGCTGACAAAAATGTGTTGTAAGAATGTTTTGTTAATGTTCCCTTAAAGGAACACTCCACTATTTTTGAAAATAGGCTCATTTTCCAACTCCCCTAGAGTTAAACAGTTGAGTATTTATTTTTGTAGAGAATTTATGTTGAAATACATATATATATTAAAATGTTTAATAATTCATTCAAATTAATGAAACACTTTTAAATAGACTGCAGCAATAATATTTTGTCACATTATTTTGTTTAGTTCAAGACAAAAAAACAACAACGTGATTCTCAGTTTATCCAGAATTGTGCACCTCTAGTGTCCAGTTTTTGAATGTTGTAAAAACGTTTTTTTTTGGTTATAAGAATGTTAAAGGGGTCATATGATGCGATTTCAATTTTTCCTTTCTCTTTGGAGTGTTACAAGCTCTTGGTGCATAAAGAAGATCTGTAAAGTTATAAAGACTAAATTCGCACTGTGGATCGCCGGATCGGCTTTCACCGTGGATGAAGCGGAGTCCAGCCCGGAGTCGTCACATGTGCTTGCCGCAAGCCCTCCGGACGCTCCTTCATCGAATCCGCCGGCCGCCGCTTACTCAGGGCCGCCATGTGTGACGCTGTGTTTCATTGTGAAAGCGAAATCAGTGGTTAAGTGGTATTTACAACACTGTTCCAGAACACTTCAACCCAAATATTCAGATGTGTGCAGCACATCCGTCACACTCTTGAGGTATTCGGCCAATCACAACGCACTGGATAGCTGGCCAATCAGAGCACACCTCGCTTTTCAGACCGATGAGCTTTGTAAAAATCGACGCGTTTCAGAAAGGCGGGGCGTAGAGGAGAAACAATAATGTACAGTATGTGGAAAATAATGTGTTTTTTGAACCTTAAACCGCATAAACACATTTCATAACACCAAATACACAACATAATGTTCTTTTTAGCAGCATCATATGACCCCTTTAAGTTAACATTCCATTTTATCATTTTGCAAACATTATGGAAAAGTTATTTTTGAATGTTGCCTAAATGTTCTGAAACAAGCAGTTACATTTAAAAAATGTTACACGAATGTTCCATGAATGATTTATAAATAAAATTTTTATGCTAATGTTTAGAGAACTTTATTAAAGATCAGAGAACTTTGAACGAACATTCTATTAATGTTACTGGATGAATGTTTGTATAACTTTGAGAGAACATTAGCCAAAGTTCTGAGAACTTTCCTTGTTAGTTGGGAGGAACGTGTACGAGAAAGACAAAACTTGTAGACTCACTTTGAATGCAGACTGCTGAATGTTTACATTTGATATTA